CGCGAGCGCGACGAAATTCCGTTTCTTTTCAGTTCGTTGGGGCGCGCACAGAGACGGAAACCGAGTTCCCGTCCCCCTTTCGTCCCTTGAATTCCGTCGAAAACGCGGAGAAAGTACCGTGACCGCGAAAAGATTGCTGAAGTTTGCAGCGAGAGAACCGCGATAAAGGATAATCAGCGAGTCGCCAGAGCTTCATCCACGAGGTCGACCGCGCCGAATCGCCAGCTTCCCTCGTCGCCGTTGTTTACCCCCAAGCTTATACTATTTCCTTGCCCCTTCTGCTCGTCCTCAGCTCGTTCTTCGCGAGCTTTCCCCGCTACGAAACACGGAAGCGCGGCGGACCATTTCAAGCGCAAGAAAATGATTTTCTTGTCAGGAAAAGGCCGTTTCGAGGGAATACGAAACGAGAAATTTCTCACGGATGTGCGAGAGCACTTGCGTGCAAAACGCATCGAAAGCTTTGTTTTCGAAAGCTCCTCGACTGCACGACGCTGCCTTGCCAAAGAGAATATGTACCATGATTTTCTCTCCATGAGCGAAGCAAGTGACGTGCACACACTCTTATGCGAGTTCCGCCGAGTCGTTTTATAAGCATTTCGGGAAAGGAAACCTTATTCCGAGTAGGACTGCAAATTTCCTACGTGAAACCCGTGAGAGAGCCATTGCGCACGCGGTTGATTCTTCGTCGATTTTTACAAAAGCGCAAAAAGTAGCAATTCTCCGGACTTTGTGAATATTCAACGCGAAGTGAACTGTCAATACTAAAGCCGAGGAGAAACGAGCATTTTTCTTTATTGCTCTCAAAGTACAATCAAAGGATTCTTCACTGAAATGTTATTTTTTTATAACTGGTGCTTAAGTAAGTGCAATCAATAAGTGCAATCAGTAATCTCACTGAAAGAATCAGTTAATAATATAACATAGAAAAATACATACATTCAAAAAAATGTTATTTGTTTCGAATATTTCGTAAGATTATACATCTGCAAGTCCATTACAAGTTTATCGTGTTAACATCAAATTTATTCAAAATACACTCTGAATCTTAGCAAATTTAGCATTTCAATCGAGAATATTGAATTAAGAGCAAAATTCAGTTTGTTTAGAGTTCAACCAATTATTACTGAGAGAAAAAATACCTAAGAAATAGTAAACATTTATTTGGAAGGTACTAATAACATATATTTACTTATACTGATATAAAACATTTTTCAAATAAGAAAATATTCATTTTCTTAAAACCTTAAAGAAATTTTATTTAAATGAGAGAATTTAGGTTTAAGTAAATATGTTATTAGTACTCATTGAGAAAAAATAAATCAGATAAGCTGAATAAATTTTTTAAATATTTTTTCCTCAGTGTACAAAGAGTTAAGCTAACTTTTCTTTGATAAAATTTTATAATATTCTTGCAAAGAGAATAAATTCTTTGTCTAATGAGTCTTCATGAATTTTTGTAATGAGTTGTTCTAAAATTTTTCATGAATATATTTTAAGATTTATGAGGTGAATATTCTTTATTTATTAAAGATAATCATTACTTAGCGAAGGAAAATAAACCGAGTAATCACTCTTCTTGGCAGTAAAATGATTCTCTGTGTGACTATTCTCATTATGGATGCATTTTGTAAACACAAACAGTGTCATTACATATAAAACACATGGAACCGTTAATACCATCTTCACAAACGCAAGGAGTTAGATTTCGTCCAACGAATTTATACATCAGAGATTTTGCAATGTCTTGCTTCAACTGATAAAAATCAACGAATGTTTACTCATTGTCGGTGAAACAGTCCTTTTGCCGATCGAAGAAACATTTCTACCGATTCATTTTAAGCAAGTAAATCTCGCTTCGGGCGGAAACGGCATTTACGCGCGACTTACGCCAAATGAACATTTTAATGAGCAATACGACATCTCGTGTCCAGTTGACTTCTCGCGTTACACGTCAACAGTGCAAGACACGCGAGAGCACGCGTTCCTCACGGCCTCGTGAATGCGGCATTTATCGGCCTCTAAATTACGCCTCTCGATGTTATTCGACGCGGCACAACTTCTCTGTTTAACCCACATCGCGCTGTTTATCCCTTATCCGTTTTACGCTGACGCTCTCTCTCAAGATGCGTTTTCTTCGATAAATACATTTCCGCCCCGGATTTCTCGAAACGTTGCGCGCCGCTATCGAGCGGATATATTCCGCTGGCAGCCGTCGCATGTTTTGAACCCCCGCCGGCTCGTCAGTGTTATCTGCTTTCCTTCTGCAAGAAGGCACGTAGCTTTCCGGTCGGACGGCTTTATCTGCCGTTCCATGATATCATTATTAACTGCGATTCGCCATGCGATCGGCCGAGCGAGCGAGCTCGCGCACCCGCTACCGGGGAGAGTGTCCGGAAGATAGGAACGTCAGATCCGCCCGGCTGTTCGCGACGCTAACTCCATCAGTTTAGCGGCGTCAGATTATTAGCGTGCGCGTCTATTTCGCCGTGACGAATAACCCTCTATCGCGCGCATCTGCCGCGCGATGTACCGGAAAGATGTCTACACGCGCGTCATGCGCATCCGCACTCATGTAAATTACCGCGTAAAATATACTGTGGATATTTGGATTCGTATATAGTTGTTAGTATGCCATATTACTGAGAGCGATAAATCATGCGAGCGCGCTCACGAATTTTATGTCGAATATTCGCGCGACTTTTTTATCAGATGCTTGCAAAAGTTCGTATGTTACTGAAGTTATTTTTATTTATTGGTCACAATGAGATGACATCTAATATTTTAATCACAAGATATTGGCTCTTTCTTAGTGTCATCTTTCTTTTGCCATCTTTCGAACAATGGTTTGATCCCGTACCGATAAAATGACTCCTTTGAGATAATCCATTCATCGACCCATTTTCGCACTTCCTTATCATTTTGGGGTCGTGTATCAGATGAACAGGGCGATATCAACATTTAAAAACTAAAAAATAACAATCACCAAGTCGCTGCTACAGCCATTTATTTGTGATCTTACGAACTTATGAAATAAATGCAAGTATCTAATAATTTACCACCGGAACGCACATTCTATTTTTTTCATCCCTTTCTTTTTGTTTTTACATTTTCATTTCGCCCACGACGCGTATCTGGGGTAACGATCGCGGTGGAAACAACTTACCGGCGAGATGCACTGGCGTAAAAATGCGCGACGTGTCCCGCGATGTCACGCGGAAATACGGCGAAACGCGATTATGCTATCCGCGGCAGGTGCTAGCGTCAAAAGGCCGTTCGCGAGACGCCGCGCGCGCGCCGCCACGGCGTCTCCGTTTTCCCTTCGCCATCAAAAGAGAATTCGTTTCAATTGCATGAGGCTTCCTCCTCCCGCCGTCACCGTCACCGCCACCGTCATATCTTTCCTCCTCCTCCTCCTCCTCCGTCAGATCCGACGTCTCTCTTCTGCTTTTCTTCCCGACCGAATCCTCCCCCTGATACCGCGTCCTACTCTCTTTCTACCCTCGGCTGTCCCGCGACGCGCCACCCCATCCATGTCATCATGCGATTAGTATAATAACGTTGACGTCGGGAGGGCCCGCGCAACGCGAGAATCGGGAATGCCAATCGCGTTAGACTACACCCGGAACCGAAACTCAATATTTACGCTAGCGCGCGGCAACTCGGCGCTAATTAGACCGCCAGGTAATTGGTAACGCTAGCTCTCAAAGCCGAGGGTGAACGCGGCGAAATTCGGCCCGAATACCGGTATACACTCTTGCGCACTGCGTGCGCGTCTCCACTGCCCCCCTCCCCCTTCATGCGTCGCGGGGGACGATATTGGCGTTCGATTACTCGACTACGTCGAATGCTCGACGGCCGATCCGGGGAATGCAACATCCGTCGAGCACCGTGAGCGTTTAACCCGACCGTCTACGCATGGGCCGGAGGTGGGTAAGCGCGCGGATTATTTAGAACACCGCGTAACACCTCAGATCCGTGCGTGCATCCGTGCGTGCATGCGTGCGTGTATGCGTGCGTGCGAAACTTAACTCTGAACTACTAACATCTTTCTTCAATACTGCACGGAGAAAAAACAGTGTGGTTGGCCTGCACATAAATCTAGGTATGCCAGCCAGACTTAACAATAAAATACGGAACAACTACCCAAGTAAAAACATTTCCAGAAAAAAACTAGTCACTAGACAGATACTGATCAGTTTTTATCGTTTAGGATTTATCAAACAATAACTGTTCAGAAATAACAGGAAAATACTGGCCAGTATTTTGTGATCAGTTACTGACCAGAAACTAGGCGATATAAATTAGGCGATGAACAAATGCTGGGCAATTCTTTTGTTTAGTAAAAATTCGAGAAATACTGGGAAATGTTTCTTTTCCTTGATAATGGTTTTAAAATATCACACACATTTTAAAGGAGCTCATTATCATCAAAAAAGAAAAAAGATTTTATTCTCTTTATAAGAATATAATAAAACTTTATCGAGGAAAAAGTTAGTTCGACTCTATGTAGTGGGGCAAACTTGAATTTTTGTTTTAACTTAATATTCTTCATTAAAACTAAGATTCAGCTTACTACGATTCAAAATATATTTTGAATTAATTTGATGTTTGTGTGATGAACTTATGAGATTTGCACATTATGAAATACTTGAAACAAGTAACATTTACTTGAATGTAGTATATATTTTTCTGTGTGTACCTTTCTGGCGCCAATACCGATTTTACCTCAATTAATTATTTGCTCTCAGACTTAGAGCTAAATGAGATGTAAAGTCCCTACACTATCGTTTCTTTGAGCCTATTAAATTGAAGAAAGCAATCGTGAAAACCCGCAGAAGTGGAACAATTTTAATAAAATGAAGAGAATAGAGTTATTGAAATAGACTCGTCAAAAAGACGGGGGTCAGTAGTCCAGGGTTAATATATATACGACGACCTGATGATTTTGTGTACATAATAATAAGACGCGACGCTTCGCCCTCGCGTTTGTTTCTCCGCAGTTTTGGTCTGCCTACGTTCCTTGCGGCGCCGCTCAGTTAAACGCAGTTCAACTCTCGCTGGAACAAATCGACGTGATTCGTCGACTCGCCGAAATGAATGCTCAACACTTAACCCTGGTTACCTCCGTCAAAGGTGAGTACGTACATCAACACCGACCCGCATCCAACGCGCCCCCGTGATCCTCCCTTCCCATTATGCGGTAGTTATCGGTCGACCGCGCAGTTCTTCTCAGCACCTTAGACATTAACGCTTTTTTTCTCGTTTTTCCTCTGCCAAGATCACGATTCTGTCCTATAGACGAATTAGAGTTGCCTGTATATCAATTTTTTGCCGAAACAGCTCCCCTGGTACGCAATGCAGTTTTCAAGCAGTTACTAGATAGTTGTGTTAACCTCTGTCTAGTAACTGAAGAATAAAATCTTACTTGGAGCCCCAAATCAAAAAATGTGATTCGTCGTCAACAATGGCAAGTAGGAATAGTAGTAAGAAATAAGCAGTAAGCAAATTGACCAATTCCATTTTCACGATTCAAGAATAATCGATTGTGATTGGTCCATTTATTTACTGCTTATTTCTTACTACTATCTCTACTGCCATTATAGACAACGCATGACGCTTTTCTTGCAGTTATTGCGTATGAAAAACGCGAAAAAATCTGAATTCATTTACTAGATGAAAATAATAAATGAATAAAAAACTATTCGACTGATTAATAATCAAGTTTATCGCTCATAAAGTGAGCAGGTTTGCCCTAAAACTGAGTTAGTATTACTGATACTATATATTAGAAAAAATCGATCGGAAAATATCAATGAATATCGATACATATGTATCGATATTCATTGATCGAATGTCATTGTATCGAATATCTGTACATATTATATAGTAAACCGCTTCAACCACTGAATAAAAGTCTATCGAATCCTTGTCCAGTTTTTATACGGAGAAAATGTTCGGTTGGATTAACCGAATTTCTGGTGAAACATGCACGAAGCAGAAAATTTCAGTTGAATCAGAAATCCTGTTAGCTCGAACAGAATCCTGGTAGTTTCAACCGGAATTTTTGGTCCGTTCATATTTCACCAGAAATTTCGTTAATCCAACTGAATTTCTTTTTCCGTGTGCACAATAATTTTGCAACTGATGCGAACGTATTAATACTACTGATAATTTAATAACTGGACAGATGTTTACCGTATAAACGTACCATTCTACGCGAATTTATCTTTCATTTCCCGTCCTTTATCGACCACGAAAACGACGAGGATACAGTTTTGTTCTCTTATAAATTGTTTCCGACGCGAGGATGCGGACTAATTATATATTCAGCATCTGATAAATAACTTTTCATAATATCGCGATGAACAATGTGGCGCGTGTGTCGAGTAAGCACGAGTAAGAGAGAACAAGGATCGCTCGTGAGACGGGCGGAAACTTCAGCGATGCCAAAATGCGTACAATGAATTTGGCCCGAGGTGGTATGAGGAATCTCCATTGTCTTCCGGCAATTCAGTTAATACGCAGTGAACCCCCTTGTAACTGAAAGAATTCCCCTGACCGCCGTCGCCGCCGCGCACGTCGCGTTATTAAGGGGGGAAATCCAATTAGAACGAGGAAAAATAAGCTATTTTCAAGAATTTTTTTGTAGGAGAAAGAATTTTTCTATATTTTTCAAACTTAAACATTTATTTATATATGTTTTGGACTGTCCATACGTATTTTTTTTTCCAAAAATATTTAAAAATGGCGGACATATGAAGCATCCCATTTGGCAGGTACGCGTGCGAGTTGCTCAGCTGCTGGACAAATGGCGTCCGTGATATTGATCCTATAACAGGCAGCGAAAAAATTCTTATTATTTATACCCATAATTCGTAATTGAACCTAAAAAAATTGAAAAAAGTCAAAAATTTTGAATATGAAACGCTTATAAAAAACGCTTATCATTTTTTGACGTTTTCTCTGCACAATTTTTGCAATAAATAAGTGATTTTTTATTATAATTTTCACAAACATTTAGGTTCACCGACATTGTACTGATGTCATGAAGTTGTGTGCGAAAGTTCAGCGCGATCGGTTGAATAGTTTTTAAATGAGAGTTCCAGCAGTGCAAAAAAGTACAGTTTTGAGAAAAACGTGTTTAAAGTTTTGACAAGTAAAAGATACAAGATATCTATAA